AGGTTTGCACATGCACGCGTCCTCAAATCTTTGGACAATTGACGTCTGCTCTTGCCACCAAGCGGGGGACCAACAGCCCGCAGAAAAACGAGGCAGAGGCGCGGCACCTTCTGCAGCTCGCTGAAGACGCGTGAGCGAAGATCTCCATCCCGAGAGAGTGGTCGTGCACGTGCGCCACAGTGACGCGAGGCAGAGGGCAAGGATGGACGTGGGACCTCCTCCTCTGCACCAACGCTTCAAAGAAAGCAGGTCACATTTCCTGAGAGCATTCGGAGGGAGACGATAAAGCTTGTGCAAGCCATGAATTTCACGCTTCAATAGACGTGGGATGGGCAAAAACAGCTGGGCGACATAACTGAGGGTGGGGAGAATGGCAGAGGCATACAACAGAGTGAGGGCGGACGGAGGAGCACGAGTGATGCTGGCCAAGTGGATCCGCTTCCACCATTTCTCCGCTGGGGCGCGCCACTGCATATCTGCTGTCGCGCCTGGTCCAAGCCAAACGCCCAAATACTTGACGACATCCGAAACCTGGAAACAACGCCACCCCTCACACACCGACCCAAGATCTTGAATCGTTTGGCTTCGGACTTCCGCGGACAAAGGGGCCCAAAGCGGGACCGCGACACATTTCGATGCTTGCAAAGCTAGACCAGCCAGGCGCTCGGCGAAACAGAACGTCTCAGCGATCAAGTACAGCTGTGTCACACAGAGAAGAATGAGCCCAATATCATCGGCACACGCTCGGACCACTCCATGGTCAAGTGACGGGAAAGGCCTGTGGAGATGTCGCAACAGAGGGTCCATGCTGAGAGCCCACAGACTGCCTGACAGAGGACAGCCCTGCAATACACCACTAGCCAACTCGCACATCGGGGTGAGAGGCATGTCACCGAAACGCGCGAACGCGATGGGAGCGTGATACAACGCACTGATGGCCCATTGAACTCCAAGTGGGACGCCATAGTGTGCCAGTACCAGCTCCAGCCATCGCCGATTCAGACTGGGAAACGCAGCTTTGAAATCGAAGGAGAGGAGGAGAGGCCTTCGCTCTGAGCCGTGCTCGAGCCAGCCAGCTCGTCTCGCCTCCGCATCCAGCAGGGGTATGTTGCCCACAAAGTTACGACCAGTGATATACCCCTGCTGGCTGCTATGCACCCTGGCTTCCACCAAAGGTTTCAACGTGAAGTTGATAGCAGAGCCGATCGCCTTCACATCACTGTTCTTGAGACTCAAGGGGCGGAGGTCCTGACAACGCCGAGTAATCCGAGCCGCATCCGACGTTTCTTCTCCCTTCGGGAGAAAAAGCGAACAGTGAGTGATTGGCTTCGTATGGCAAAAACCCGCCAGAGTAGATATGCACGAGAACGCGATGCAGTACATCAGTGGCTAGCGGATGGGAAATCCACGCAGCGTATGGGGTCCTGTCAGGTCCAGGAGCACTCGGCTTAGCACGCTGGATGGCGTGCGTAAGGGCTGCTACACTGGGGAGAGGAGCGTCGAAGGTAGGAGCAGGAGGAAGAACAGAGTGCAAGAAACGAGAGATATCTTCATCACACGCTTCTTGCGCAGCAAAGACCGGCTGCCAATGCTGCTGGACTGCCTGGAATATTCCTTCATCAGTGCAAACCGTGACTTCAGACGCAGTGGGACCATCATGTACATGCACGCGCACACCTTCGAGCCTAATCTGACGTGCCCACGGTGTCCACAGGCGCGCACGACGAGCAGCTTTCCGTTCAATCTTACGCTGAAAGAACACATCCTTGTGCCTACCGAATTCATCATACTGTGAAGCATTCGTTGACGCCTGAAGAGCTCTGAGCTGATGCCATTCATCATTGACAGCATCGCACTGCGCATGGAAGGTGGGAGGGGAGAGAAGACCGACGATGCCATCCGAGACGACGAGATGGGAGGCAGCAAGAGGAGAAGTGGCAATGAGCCGAGATGCCGTGCACACATCATTCCGCCACAGCGCACGTGCCATGGAGCGAAACAGGTACATGCGTGTGATGGGAGCATCAGGATGGGCTTGCCTATGATACTCAGATCCTTGCAACTTGTCTCGTGTGAGAGCGGCCGCTTCATACATGATATCCTTGATTCCTTGCCAAGCACGAATGGTGGGCAGTTCGTCGAAATCGGTGTGAGAAATCATAGAGGCAAAAATGGTGCGAAATTCTTCAGTCCTGAACAAATACAACGGGATGGCTCGCTCGAGCTGAGCGCGCGGGGTGGAAGGCTTAATTTTCAGCATGAGCATTGCATGATCAGACAAGCCTCGATCTGAGAGCTGTGTGCTTTCGTGCGCAATCTGAAGAGTGACGTCCAACAACATTTGCTGGGAGGCAGGGCCAGCAAGGAAGAAGCGATCGATGCACGAGACCTGCAGTCTATGCGAGTCATACCGAGTAGGGAGATCAGACGTGATCTCCGTGACAGAAGAGAACATGCGCCTCCAGCGAGCTTGCATATGCTGACCACGATTATCGATGACAGGGAGTTGGGTAGGGGGAAGAGGGCCAGAAGCAGCCTGAAGGGGGGATCGAAAGGAACGAGGGGGAGACTCAGGGATATTAAAATCTCCGAGAGCAAGGAACTTGAACGTCCGTTCATGGTTCCGAGCTAAGAGAACTTGTTCATTCCAGAAGCGCTCGACCTCATGCACATCCAGTGCCGAGAGGTTATGATTGTGGACATTCAAGATACACATCGTATACTCGTGCGCAGGGGAAGAGATATGCAGAGCAGCCACTCGGCCGGGCACAATGGGGCGCAAGACACAGATTGGCTTCAGCTCAGCAGGAACAGGTAGATGTTGCGGACGACCTGGTACCAAGAAAGCGACGCCACCCGCAGCCACATCGAAGCCAGACATGTAGCAGTCGTATGAGTACGGGGTATCATCAATCAGCCGTTGAAGGCGCAGCTCATCACCTCGCACCTCTTGAAGTACGATGAGAAAGCGTTGCCTCATGTATTCAGATAATAGGCGCATCTTTGACGCTCTCTTGCTGGAATTCAGGCAGAGAAGACTGCGGGCGTTCCAGCAGATGATCCGAAGACCAGCATTCGCATCACGAAGGAAAGGCTCCCACGGAGCCCAGCATGTGCTACCCAGACCACTGCGCCTCCACCGCCGAGAAAGCTGAAGAAAACGCTGCTTCGATACTATCCTTGTCAATGTTGAATTGAGCGGTGGCATGAAGGTTCCACTTGATTCTTGTAGGTTCATCCTGGGCTCTCGGTTCCAATTGACAGCACGGGATACTGTTGACCAAGACTTGGTACTGAGCTCTTCGGCATCTCCACGTAAGAGATGGGTACGCATCTTCCAGTAGCTTGCACATCCTCTTGGCTTGCACCTCACCTCTGACCATCTTTGGGCTCTTGTCCGTGGATACATACATAGCAACCGTGGCGCCCTCGGTGGAAACAACGTTGAATGACCTCCAGCCAGTGGAGGTTCGCAAACTTCGGACCAATGCTGTGGCACGAGAGCTGGCTTCGGCTTTAGTTCCAAGTACTCTGACTGTGAAGCGCCTAGCCACGACATCTCCGACGAGCTCGATCTGGTTCCGTTGCAACTTCGCATCAGCAATCCAAGCAGCAAGAGCCTCACTGACAGCTTGTGGAGCGGCAGGAGCGACGACACCAATTGAAAAAATATGTGGGTCCACCGCTCGATCCCATGTGGCCAGGTTCTCGACGTCGAACGGGAGCTGCGACTCAGCCATGGCGAGCTGTTGCTTGATGGCCTCGACCTCGGTGCGCATGGCGTCCTGAGCAGCAGCTGCTTTGTCGTGTCTCTGTCGCAAGTCCTGGACCTCTCGTGCTTGCGCGTCGATTCGCCTGATCGTCTTAGCCTGTTCTTGCACAAATGTCGCACGAAGTTGACTGGCGATCGACTCAAGCTGCGACGCAGCAGCAGCAGTGGCTGCCGCAGTAGTGGCGACACGAATGGCCTCTGCATCCACTTGAACAGCTTCCCGAAGACGCGCCTCCATTTGGCGAAAGTCAGATGAAGCACCTGGTGTGGCAGTGCCCGAGATGGGAGTGGCTGGAGCCCGCAGAGGAGGTTCACCGACAGGGGGTTCTCCGGCAACGTGATGACCATCATCAGACACGCGAGCAGTAGCAGCTGCAGCGGCGGGGCGTGCTCTGTGAGCCACTTGCCAAGCAGCTTGTTCTTGCGACGGGAACGTGGGAGCTGCTTCCATGGCAGCGCCAATCTGGGCTGCTTCCAGAGAAGAAAGCGGAAGCCGTTCCGCAGTAGTACCATCAGCATCACGCCTCCAAGGATCACGTGCAAGCAGAGGGTCCCCATGACCAGGGCGGTGTGCGTCAACAGCCGCAGCGGGAGCACCAGCACGCCCAGATCGTCTTTCACGACCACCGCGTTCAGCATGAGGAGCAGGGCGCTCATCACGTGGAACACGCCGTGCACAATCTTCACGGCGCCTCGCAGGAGGAGCATCGTAATCCTGACGAGGGCGCTCTCTCCTTCGATGTTCCTTAGCCGCATCACTGCGGCTGCGATCAGTGTGAGGACGTTCAGAACTTGATGCGCTGTCAGACGACAACATTGGGTCTGCAGCAAACTGCCACTTCCCACCTCGTCGCCACCACCAGATTCCACTATGGCAGCATGGGCGGGCAGCCGCCGCGGGCAGAGAAAGAACCGTGAGTTATGGAAAGCTGTCGTGGCCTCCTGACGGCCCAGCACGGAAGGCTCGAGCCTTCACTGCAGCAGAGGACCAAGACTAATCAGGTTACCTCGCAACCTCGTTGCTTCCCCCCGTTTAGTCTTGAGCCAAAATGGCTTGAGCCAAAATGGCTACGGAGGAGGAGGAGGAGGAGGAGGAGGAGGAGGAAGAGGAGGAGGAGGAGGAGGAGGAGGGGAGGTGAGGAGGAGGGAGGGGGAGGAGGAGGGGCAACGAGGACGACGAGATGCTCTGAGGACGCAGGAGGTCGGGCAAGCGGAGGCCCGCTGCCGCCTGTGCGGCGCCGCCGCCGGCCACGGCCCGGCTCGCGAGCGCCTCCCAGGCGCCGCGCTCGGGGCCGCCGAGCAGCTCGAGCACGCGCTCGAGCTGGGCGGAGGCCGCGGCGAGCACCTTCTCCTCTCCTTCCTCCTCCTCCTCCTCCTCCTCTCCTCCTCCTCCTGCTCTCCTCCTACTCCTCCTCCTCCTCCCTCTCCTCCTCCTCCTCCCCCCCCTCCTCCTCCTGCCTCTCCTCCTCCTCCTCCTCCTCCTTCTCCTCCTCCTCCTCCTCCTCCTCCTCCCCCTCCTCCTCCCCTCCTCCCCCTCCTCCCCCTCCTCCTCCCCCTCCTCCTCCTCCTCCTCCTCCTCCTCCCTCCTCCTCCTCCTCCTCCTCCTCCTCCTCCTCCTCCTCCTCTCCTCCTCCTCCTCCTCCTCCTCCTCCTCCTCCTCTCATCCTCCCCTCCTCCTCCCCCTCCCTCCTCCTCCTCCTCCTCCTCCTCTCTCTCCTCTTCCTCCTCCCCCTCCTCCTCCTCCTCCTCCTCCTTCTCCTCCTCCTCCTCCTCGGGGCCCTGAGGAGGGGCGCCCTGAGTAGGGATAGGACAGGAATCAAGCATTGAGCCTTCACCATTTGAGGCTACTATGGTCCGCGGGGCCCTGAGAGGGGGAGCCCTGAGGACGAGAGGCCCAGACAGTGAAGATTTGACATGCGATCCACTTCTCATCCTTGGGGCCTCATTCCTCACGGGCCCTGAGGGAGGGGGCTCGAAGGAAGAGGACACCAGGCAATGAAGGTCTAATGTGTGATCCAGTTCCTATTCCCTAGAGGAAGAAAGAGCGACAAACACAAACGGCCGACGGTCCGCGCGGATCTCCTGGATCGGCGCTGCGCCTCCCTGGCGGCGCTTCCGTCGCCGCTCCGGGCCGGCTCCGCGCGCCAGGGAGGCGGGCCTCTTTCTTATTCGACCCCTTGGGCCCCAGCCCTCAGGGCCCCATCTTTGAGCCGCCGACGCCTGGCCGCCGCCTTCTTCGGGGCCCTCGGCGAGGCGGACGGGCAGCAGCGGCCGGAGCAGCCGGGCGACGGCGTCGGGGTCCGACAGGAGGCACAGGCACACCTGAGAGCGGGGCGCCGACTGCACGCCCTGCACCGGTCCTGGACGGGCCCATCCTTGGCCAACGGATCGGTGCATAGACTCTCCTGGCCCCGCCAGGAAGGCATGTGCACCGATGCTGGGCCCAGGACCGGACCGCCCAGGATCGGTGTGGGTGCATGCTCGGCGCCCTCCGAACACCAGCCGCGGCAGCACCAGGAACAGCTCCGCGTCGCGGTCCTCGAGCATCGGCTGCAGGGAGGGCACGGCCTCGAGCGCTCCCGCCAGGAAGCTGGCGAGCAGGCGGACTCCCTCCATCAGGTCAGAGCTCTCCATGTAGTGGGCGAAGCGCTCCCAGCTGTCCTCCCAGCGAGCCAGCCTCTCGGCGAGGCCCGCGTTCTTGCCAAGCTGCGGGTGGACATCGGCCAGGTGCTCGCGCACGCCGACCAAGTAGTCGCGCAGGCCATTGTAGGACTCCACCGCCCGGGCGGCCAGCACCACGGTGGGAACGGGCGTGCCCTGCTCGTGCCGGGAGATTGCGAGCACCTGCACGGCCTCGTCCAGGATCTGCATCGAGCACTCGAGGACCTGAGTGGAGGGCCTGGGGTTCCCGGCGGCAGCGCTCAAGTACCTAGGGGAAGGGAGCCTGAGGAGGAAACGCCGCAAGCACGTCTGGACGACAGGAAACACTCCTGGAAAACGGTTCGCAGCACAGCGTGGAAGATGCTGCGGCCGAGAACTTGGCGGAGCGTTTTCCAGAGGCCCAAACTGTTCACAGTCTGTCGCTCACACTTGCCATGACACGCTGCGCATAGATCCTCCCCGGATGCATGTAGTCCCAGCTGAGAGCCCGTTGAGGCCAGCCGGCACTACGTGCCTCCAGGCACTGCCCTTCCCCGTGCACCCTCCGTCAGAGTACCCCAGGTGCTCCAGGAGCGCCTCCTCCTCCTGGCGGAGCTCGTCCATGGCCTCGGCCGACGTGTCGGCGCTGAACACGCTCTCGGCAGACCTCAGGCGGCGGTCCTGCTGGACGGCCCGGTCGAGCGCGCCCCTGGCGCGCTGCTGCGCCGCCGACAGCCCCTCCACGTAGGCCTCCTCGAAGCCGGCCCACGCGGCGTCGAGGCGCCGCAGGCGCGCGCAGAGCTCCGTGCGGGCCCGCCCAGGCGGGCGGTCCGGCGACGCCCACTGGTCGAGGAGCTGGACCAGGTCGAGCACCGCCTCCCGGAGCGCTTCCGCGTGAGCCACGACTGCCTCGTCGAAATGGTAGGCCTCCCCATTGAGCCACACAGCGTGCCGGAGGGACAGTGCCGCCACCAGGAAATCCACGCGGTAGTTCCGCTCATAGCCCGGGAACATCGACCGGAAGTCTGCGGTGAACTTGCTGCGGTACTCCCTGGGCGCCGGGTCAACACTCAGGGCAGAAGCAGCCTTCTCCACCTTCTTCAAGAACCTCGCGCACCCTTTTCGGCCATTCTCACTGTGCGTGTCCAGCCACATTCCGTCGCGCACAAGCTTCTCCCTTGCAGCAGCAAGCATCACCACGGAATGAAGCTCATCGCGATCAAAACCGAGAGCGTCCCTTCCCAGGAGACTGTGGGCGATGGAAACCAGAGCGTCCTTGCGTTGGTCGACGGTGCCGACGTCGACAATGCTCGCGTCAGGCATGAAGTTGACGTGTCGCTGCGTGTAAATAATGAACAATAAGATGCTGTAAGTTAATGGTAACTGACGTGAAGTAAAGGGAGTGATTTGTGAGCTACCGACTGAGTGTCGTGCTTCTGTATCGGAATTTCGAACCAAATTGTTTGAATTCCCGATCCTGCTCCTGCTGCTCCTGGTCGACCTCCTGCTCCTCTGGCCCCTATTCCCTGTCCTGCTCCTCCTTCTACGTCCAGTGGCAGCAAGCGCTGTCGCTCACACTCGATGGCTCACTCACTCACTCACTCTCTCTCCTCCCTCCCCGCTCCCTTCGCATCATCCGAAACACTGCGCAGGGCAATCACGAGGTCCTTCGCCACAAAAGCGACGTATCGGACTCCTCTGCCCAGCTGCCCACCGCAGAGCCTATGACGATGGAGCCCTCTTCTTCCGAGGCGTCAGCTCTCCATCTTTGAACCCTCTGCCGCCGCCTCCCCCAGGCTGGCAGTCATGGCAGGGAGTTGCCAGCACCGGCGAGCTGTACTTTCAGCCACCCCGCCCCCACCATGGCGGCGGCAGCATCGTCACTCCTGGCCGCTGGCTGCTGGTGGCCATGCAGTATCAGGCTGTCCAGTGCACTCATATAATGTAGGCGTCCATGCTTGAGTTTCTCTAGCTAGTCTCTCTCTCTCTCTCTCTCTCTCTCTCTTACTCATATATACACACATACATATATATATATATATATATATATATATATTAACACCTAATCCACCACCGTGCCCCGAGGTACGAAATGGAGTGTTCCCCAGGGTTCCAGAGTTCGCGATACTCCTCATCCAATAATGAAATATGCTGCTCTGGAGCAGGGAGCCACTCGGCTCGGCCCCGCGCGCTCTCGCGCGCTCCCTGGCTTCCTCGCGTGACTTGTCCAGGGCTAGAGGGCGTGCCCGAGAGGGCCCGAGAGGCATCCAAGACAGCCCGACAACGCTTCAGGACGCCCAAGCTGGCCCAAGAGGCCCATGCCAACAGGTGTTTGTTCTCTGTGCTTTTGAAGGAGCTTCGCGTTCTCGCCTTTTTGGGCTCGACGCTCCAAGACGGCCACGGAGGCCAACAATATCGCCCCAAGACGGCCAAAGAGGCTCCAAGAGCGCCCCCAGATGGCCCCATATGGCCCCAAGGCGTCCCAAGAGGCCCCCAAGACGGCTCAAGAAAGCTCCAAGACGGGGCCCAAGAGAAGCCCCAGGCCAACATGAACTGGCATTTCGAGTCCTTCGCCCCAAGATGGCCCCCGAGACAGCCAGCAGGCCCCCAAGAGGCCCATCACAAGCTTCAGGAGGCCCCTGAGAGGCCTTTCAAAGGCCCCGAGAAGCCCCCAAGAGACCCCTAGAGGCCCCCACGACACTCCAAACCAGAATCCGAAAGGCTCCCGAAAGGCCTCAAGAGATCCCCAAAGGTATCCCAGAGGCCTCTGACATACAACCCAGGCACGGTGGCGGGATGAGCCGAAAGCCACTAGATCCGCCGCCCCCTGCTTGCAGGGGTGCACGGCGTGCTGGATGAGCTGTTAGGTTTTGGTTTTGGTTCTTTTTCCAAAAGAACTCTCCAGTGGGCTCCGGCCCGTCCCGCCACCGTGCCCAAAAACGGCCGTTTCGCTCGGGACATCCTCAAAAATCGCGAAGATGGCCCAAGATGGCCTCCAAGTCCGCCCGAGATGGTCCAAGACGGCCTCCAAAACGGCCCAAGAGAGTCCAAGACGGCCCAAGACGGCCCAAGAGGCCCCCCAGAGGCCTCCCAGACGGCCCAAGAGGCCTCCAAGAGGTCCTCCAGGAGAGTCCGAAGAGGGCAAAATCATTGATTTTCCTTGGTTTTTGAAGGATTTTGGCATTTGCGCCTTTTCGGCTCTCCGACGGCTCAAGACGGCCCAAGAAGCCCCCAAGATCGCCCAAGAGGCCCCCAAGAGAGCCCCCTGATGGCCCAAGTGGCCTCCAAGATGGCCCCTAGAGGGCCCCAAGACGGCCCAAGAGGCCTCCAACACGCCCAAGATGGCCTCCAAGACGCCCAAGATGGCCTCCAAGACGGCCCTGGAGCGCCCCAAGAGGGTCCCCCGTTGGCCCAGAAAGGCCCCCAAAACGGCTCCCGACGGCGTCAGACGTGCCAGGAACCCACCAAGATGGCCGAAGTTGGCTCGAAGCTGGCCCAAACGGCCCAAGAGGCCCCCAAGAGGGCCTCCAGGAAGGCCAAAAGATGCCAAAATCACTGATTTTCCCAAGGTTTTTGATGGATTTGGGCATTTCCCTTCTTTCGGCCTTCCGACGGCCCGAGACGGCCCAAGAGCCCCCAAAGATCGCCGAAAGATCGCCCAAGAGGCCTCCAAGACGGCGACGATGACCATCAAGACGCCCACGTGTTCCCCGAAGGCTTTCCAAACCGATTCGGGGAACACATGGTCCGATGGCTTGGCAGGTCTGGCCTCAACGTTCGGCCACATAGGCGCTTCCACAAAGGCAGGGGGCGGCGGTGATTCGCCGTAGGCGTCTTCGATCCGCCGCCCCCTTCTGCTTCAGCAAAGGGGTGCCCGGCGTGCCAAACCCTATCGGTTTTGGTTTTGGTTCTTTTTCCAAAAGAACTCTCCCAATGGGTTTCGGCCCGTCCCGCCGGGGTCCCGGGATTTTTTCCACGGACCTCACTTCCCCAATTTTCTGCCCAAGACGGCTCCAAGATGGCCTACAAGATGGCCAAGATGGCCCAAGATGGCCTCCAAGATGGTCCAAGATGGCCTCCAAGTCCGCCCAAGATGGTCCAAGGCGGCCTCCAAGACGGCCCAAGAGAGTCCAAGAGGGCCCCAGACGGCCCAAGAGGCCCCCCAGAGGCCTCCCAGACAGCCCAAGAGGCCTCCAAGAGGTCCTCCAGGAGGGCCCGAAGAGGCCAAAATCATTGATTTCCCTTGGGTATTTGAAGGATTTGGGGGTTTTGCGTCTTCTCGGCATTCCGACGGCCCAGAAGGCCCAAGAGGCCCCCAAGATCGCCCCAGAGGCCCCCAAGAGGGCCCCATGACGGCCCAAGTGGCCTCCAAGATGGCCCCAAGAGGGCCCCAAGACGGCCCAAGAGGCCTTCAACACGCCCAAGATGGCCTCCAAGACGCCCAAGATGGCCTCCAAGACGGCCCCGAAGCGCCCCAAGAGGGTCACCCGTGGGCCCAGAAAACCCCCCCAGACGGCTCCCGACGGCGTCAGACGTGTCAGCAACCCACCAAGATGGCCGAAGTTGGCTCGAAGCTGGCCCAAAAGGGCCCAAGAGGCCCCCAAGAGAGCCTCCAGGAAGGCCAGAAGAGGCCAAAAAACATTGATTTTCCTAAGGTTTTTGACGGATTTTGACATTTCCTTCTTTTCGGCCTGCCGACGGCCCGAGACGGCCCAAGAGCCCCCAGAGATCGCCGAAAGATCGCCCAAGAGGCCTCCAAGACAGCCAAGATGACCTTCAAGACGCCCACGTGTTCCCCGAAGGCTTTCCAAACCGATTCGGGGAACACATGGTCCGATGGCTTGGTGGCCAAGATGGCCCAGGATGGCCTCCAAGATGGTCCAAGATGGCCCGCAAGTCCGCCCAAGATGGTCCAAGACGGCCTCCACGACGGCCCAAGAGAGTCCAAAACGGCCCAAGACGGCCCAAGAGGCCCCCCACAGGCCTCCCAGACGGCCCAAGATGCCTCCACGAGGTCCTCCAAGAGGGCCCGAAGAGGCCAAAATCATTGAATTTCCGAAGGTTTTCGAAGGATTTTGGAATGTGTTTCTTCTCGGCATTCCGACGGCCCAAGACGGCCCAAGAGGCCCCCAAGATCGCCCAAGAGGCCCCCGAGAGGGCCCCATGACGGCCCAAGTGGCCTCCTAGATGGCCCCAAGAGGGCCCCAAGACGGCCCAAGAGGCCTCCAACACGCCCAAGATGGCCTCCAAGACTGCCCCGAAGCGCCCCGAGAGGGTCCCCCGTGGGCCCAGAAAGGCCCCCAAGACGGCTCCCGACGGCGTCAGACGTGTCAGCAACCCACCAAGATGGCCAAAGTTGGCTCGAAGCTGGCCCAAAAGGGCCCAAGAGGCCCCCAAGAGGGCCTCCAGGAAGGCCAGAAGAGGCCAAAAAACGGCCCGAGACGGCCCAAGAGCCCCCAAAGATCGCCGAAAGATCGCCCAAGAGACCTCCAAGACGGCCAAGATGACCTTCAAGATGCCCACGTGTTCCCCGAAGGCTTCCAAACCGATTCGGGGAACACATGGTCCGATGGCTTGGCAGGTCTGGCCTCAACGTTCGGCCACATAGGCGCTTCCAAAAAGGAAGGGGGCGGCGGTGATTCGCCGTAGGCGTCTTAGATCCGCCGCCCCCTGCTTGCAGGGGTGCACGGCGTGCTGGATGAGCTGTTAGGTTTTGGTTTTGGTTCTTTTTCTAAAAGAACTCCCCAGTGGGCTTCGGCCCGTCCCGCCGGCCACCCGGAAAGGATGCCCAGGAGCTCAATTCCCCAATTTCCTGCCCCAACTTGGCCCAAGATGGCCTCCAAGACGGCCAAGATGGCCCAAGATGGCCTCCAAGATGCCTCCCAGACGGCCAAGATGGCCTCCAAGACGGGTAAGATGGCTCCAAGATGCCTCCAAGACGGCCCAAGATGCCCTCCAAGACGGCCAAGATGGCCCCAAGATGCCTCCAAGATGGCCCAAGAGGCCTCCAAGACGTTCTCCAGGAGAGCCCGAAGAGGCCAAAATCATTGGTTTTCCTTAGGTTTTTGAAGGTTTTTTGCGTTTTCTTCTTTTCGGCCTTCCGACGGCCCAAGAGGCCCCCAAGATCGCCCAAGAGGCCTCCAAGAAGGCCCTATGACGGCCCAAGGGCCCCCCCAAGACGGCCCCAAGAGCGCCCCAAGACGGCCCAAGAGGCCTCCAAGACGCCCAACATGGCCTCCAAGACGGCCCTGAAGCGCCCCAAGAGGGCCCCAAGACGGCCCAGAGAGGCCCCCAAGACGGCTCAGACGGCGTCAGACGGACCAGGAACGCCCTAAGACGGCCAAAGAGACCCCCAGGAAGCCCCCAAAGGCCCCCAAGAGGCCCAAGGAGGCCCCCAAGATGCCTCCAAGAGGCCTCGAAGAGGCCCCCAAGAAGCCCCAACAGACCCCAAGGGTGCCCCAAGAGACTCCTAACAACCCTCATCCTCCTACTCTATTTCTTCCTCTTCCTCTTCCTGTTCATAATCATTCTCTCCCATGTGTTCCCCGAAAGC